TGTGTAAGTCGCTTTGGATAAAAGCGTCTGCTAAATGACTAAATCAATAAAAATAAATAAATCATGTTCTGGAAATAAATCGTGAGACGTTTTGCCGAGATCTCGCGAGAGGTCACGGAAACCTTTCCAATGGAAATACGTCATATAAGTAATCAAGTGGTCAAGTGCAAAGACCGCAAGTGTGGGTATTTGGACAAGGCTATTGGCTTTGTCCAAATACCCACACTTGCAGTCTTTGCACTTGACCACTTGATTACTTAAATGACCTTGGTTACTGTTGCCATCCCCGACAAACAATGCCGCTCTCACACTCATGTTCTCACATAGTGAAAGATACATCGCAGAGCAAAGAGGAAACTGACAACACACCGACAAAGACAAAGCAGGTTACTTCTGGTATGAAGCAAGATCTCAGGACTCTCAGCTCTTAAATTGTGTCATTTTTAAAGAAATCCATTCCAAACAATAAATACCGTTTTGTGGCTCTTTAATATATTGTGACAGATCGCTGTATTGCCTCGGTTCAAACACGTGAACCGATCGTCTTTTCATATTTACTTAAAGCACGAAATGAACATGAATAAACATCAGAACGTATTTTTGAACAGATCGCCTGTCAATCAAGCTCTTTGTCAACGGTCAATTTATGACATGGGCTTCGTAAGTAAAAAAGATTTACCTCGAGTCAAGTGTATGGTAGCCTACATATCACACATGGAATGGAAGTCCGCAAACCGGTTCTTTTACACGGTTCATTCTAGCGAATCAGTTAAAACGATTCATTAATCAGTTATTTTTACGTCATCGCGTAATTTTGACAACATTCAACATTCAAGTGCTCTTGTAGCAATGTACTCGGTTCGAACTGTTTTAAACGATTCATCCAATTTGTTCAACAGGTTCACTGAAAAGAATCGGTTCAAAAGAACGATTCATTCACGAACCAGTTGAGTGATTGTGTTCACGCAATGACATTGCCCATTACCTGATGTCATTTAGAGTCAGCTGATGAATGCAAATGTATATCTCAAGACATGAAAGTTGAAACTAAAATTACATGAGTGATGAAAGTGGGGCATCTGAACCTAAACATGACCTAAGGAAGGCTAGTATTTACACACCTTTTACAGTAATGAGGTAAACATCCCCTGACTCAGGTTCCATCAGAGCCTCAGCTGACCGTCCCAGCAGTCAGAGTGATTACACATCCATCAGTTTGTAAAAATAAAATAGAGGCAGTTTTACACCAAATGGGCAATGAGCCGCGGGCCTTGTGTTGGTGAGTGGGTAGTAATTAGCAGAAAACGGATCCACCTAATCAAAGATCAGTAACTAGACCCCAACAATGTAATTTTGTGCAGAAGAAGACCGGTAGGAGGGGAGGGAGCAGGGTTTTAGCTCAGGTTTCCACAGCCTTGTGTTACATCCAGTGGCCTCTAAGGAGAGGCGCTGAATGAGATCTTCTCTTGCCGCCTCTCCATGAATCATTCAGCATCTTGGAGCAGACTGTGAGCTGAGTTTAGTAGTGTTGCTTAAACGGAAATAAATTCATGAGAACAAGAGATGGAAAGATGTGAGATAGAGAAGAAAAGTGAGAAAGAAAAAGCGAGTTGAACTGATCAGGACCGAATGTGAAGTGGATCAGCCTAGACGTGTCTTCTGCTGGCCTGGGTTTCCATCATGCTGGGGCAAACTGGGCACTAAAGGCCCTTTAAACTTCTGAGCCCTGGACCAATACAAGGAGAATTAAAAATCATCTCTTTTGGAAAAAGCAATGGATGCTGAGGTAATTCAGGAATATTTCATATACTTATGTCTGCGGAGAAAGCAGCTGAAATAATGTAGTAAAATTTAAATACTCATAAGCTGTGATAATTTTTTGACTCATTTAGATTTTTTATTCTGTAAGTTCCTCTTCTTTAAAAAAAAATTTGGATTTATAATATTTTTTGAATATGTGACTCAAAATTGGACTACAAAATGACTGGGAGATGTTACTGTATTTTCTTTTTTATTTCCATTTTGTAAAAAAGTTAAAACATTGTTTTGAGGAACAATCGAGAAGTTCTCATTAATACCTATACAGATTTATTTTTTTTAAATTGGAACAGAGAAATAAAGTTAAAAGGCATAACTAGTACAGGTTGAAGAAGGTATTCCATTTTGTAAAAAAGTTAAAACATTGTTTTGAGGAACAATCGAGAAGTTCTCATTAATACCTATACAGATTATTTTTTTTTTAATTGGAACAGAGAAATAAAGTTAAAAGGCATAACTAGTACAGGTTGAAGAAGGTCAATTCAGATTTAGACTTTAAGCAGCAAAATTTGTCAAGTCTTTGTGTAGTGGCTGTTATAGAAGAATGTGGGCCAGTGACCAATGATGAGCTCTAGCTCTTTCCGAAGTCTCAAGCCATACTGTGAGCTGAGCACTGGGATCCAGTGACATACTGGAGTTTTGGGACAATAGAATGGCCTCTCAGATGATGGTCAGTTAACCAGATAGACTTTCCTTCTCCATTAAAATCAGCTTTAATGTCTCAGTGACTCACTTGGAAATACAGCAGGATGTATCTAATAACAGTGACACCAAAGTGGAAATCTAAGTCATCGTGTAAATTAACTTTTTGTTTTTTCCAATTCAGACCTGATCAGTTTTGATTATAAGAAAAAAAACAAAACAATCTTAACATTCTCAACTCTACACATTGGTAGCATAAATAATATGTGTATACGTGATATATAATATATAGTATTTGCGTGTATATATTATTATATTCAATTATTATGATATGTTATATTGTACTTTTATAGTTTTTGTGGTTTTATATAAATATTCATATGTTGCAATCAAGTAATGGTAAAGTTAAAAAGTGTTTTAACTGGGTATCTGTAGCAAGAAATGCCCTGAGTTTAAAGTTAAGATCATGATTGTCTTTTAAGCGGATGCACTACATGCCATGCTGTGTGTAATGAAAGAAGAACATTGACAGACTGCCAGAGGCTTGGCATCCCCTCTTGGCTCTGGTTTAAGTGCTCTTTGCCAGCTGATAGACAGGACTCAAGTGTGATGCCAGCTTTATCTTTCAGAGCATTTCCTAGTCTCTGCACTGTCGCTTTTGTGGTACACAACTGACTGACAGCTAACTTAGTGCGTTTTATTTGACTAATGTTGTCAGTAACTGTTTAACCATGAAGCCTGACATATGAAATAATCGTAAAAATCTCTTTTTTAACTGAACAGTTTGTTGAACACTTACAAAAATATTAAATAAATAAATAAAAGTTGTGTTTTTTGTTGAGTATTATATTTGATTCATTTGTATATATTTGATGCATTTTATGAATCATATATGATGTAGGAGAACATCCTCCTCTGTTTTAATCATAGGCCCAAACTGAGCAAAAATGTGCCATTTGGTACATTTGCTGATATCTTTATGGCCAAAAAGTAAGATGAAATTTTGATAACTTGTAATGTAAATAAATGAGATCTTTAAAACAGTCTACTTCAAATGCATGTAAATATAAGTTGTCACTCTATATCTCCCATTAATATGTCTTAGTAAAATGATATTTAACGTTTTAAGTATTTAAGTTTTATGATCAAAGCTCTGGTTTTTATTGTGAGGGGAAAAACATATAATGCAATCCAATGACGATTTGGAAATGTACAAATAAACATTCCTCAAAAGCCTCATGTATCATATTTGATACTCATATTTATTTACTTAAGTCCAGTAAGTGTTCATCTTGATTTAGTACTAACAAAAGTTATTCTTACATTTACCTTATAAAAAAACAGTAAAGATTTCATAGCAAAAAGACATGTGTATCAAAACCTGAAGGGGGACATTTTTATAATTATAGTAAAAGGCTTTTTACTTGCTAAAAAGTATAAACTATTAATGCAAAGATTTTCAGCAAAGTTTTGATCATGTTGATAATTAAGGGCCTTAGTAATTTCTGTATCAAATATGATACGGTATGGCTTTATAGAGTACAAGTAACTGGACAATTCCGAAAAGGATGTGTTTTATGATGAATTGTAAACTTATGTGGTTTCACATGGTGTGCTTCTTGAAATAAGATATTATTAATGATATTTGTGTGTGTGAGGAAGAAAGAAGGAGTGTGTTCCATCTGTTCTTAGAGGTAAATCAAACATCAGTAGCACCAGACAGGAATAGTTCATTTATTGAGAGTTTTTGTATGTCTGTGACCTTGGCCCAAATACCATCCCATGACAGGAACGGAACCGTGTAATCTCGGATAGAAATAGATTTGCCCTCAGGTTTAAGGGACCCAAGATAGGACAAACCTACGCTGAGCTGAGCTTTTCAGGATGCTAGACAATAAATCCATCATGATTTCTGTTTCAGACAGATGTTTCTTGACACACACATACACACAGACCGCTGCTTCCTTAGCACTTTTAACTTTTTAACTTAACTTTTTATTAATGACTTCCCATGGTGGACGTGGTGAGTGTGATATGACAGTGTTTCCTGTTGCACTTGAAATAATCACAGATGCTCTGTCTTTACAAAACTGGATAAGATCACACACAGTTCCCACATCAGTACTCAGAGAAACAGTAATTGCATTGAAGGTAAGGGCTCCCATATTTTCATACGAATTTTTTAGATCAAATTTAAAAATATTTCAGGTCGAAGATAGACCTATAACACGAGAACGAAAAAGGTACATATTTTGTTTGTGTAAAATATTATGCAGCTGTTGATGTAAATTTATTCTTGTAGTGAATAAAGCATGTTGATACAGCCAAACTAATGGTGTAATACAGCTCACTGTGCTGTGTCTCTCAGCAAATAATGTGCCTCAGCTTTTTATGTAACAGTCTAGTAGTAGAATGACTCAGGAATAATATGTCAAACTGAGAATCACAGTGTTTCTGCAACTAAAATGTATACTTTTCTTTAACAAAAATTTTTCTTTGGTTAAAAAAAAGAAAAAATGATTTAGCCTTTTAATATATTGTTAATATTTGTGCAATGTAAAAAAAATCCCATTACATTTTTACAGACATTTATATGGTAATAGTTTTTACTTCCAAAACCATACATTTTAAAATATTTTACTGTAAATCTTTCGCCAAATGTGGTAAGGTATGGTAAGTTAACCACAATTATTTTTTACTGTAAAAATTGCAAAATTTTTACAGTGATATTTAGGGCCATTTACTTCTTTCAAAACATAACTTCAGAGGACATACGATTTTATCAACGCGTAAAAACAATATCCTTCCTGTTTGTCAAGACCGGGGTGGACCCTGCCATTCTCAGTGTTAATTGACGAACGTCCCTTTTGATAGACGGTGCAGAAAACATTTTAGATTAGATAAGTAGAGGCTGCGCTCAGACGATTCATGGCATGTTGTTGAAAGGATTTGTTCAAGGCCACATCTGAAATTATATATTACTGATGTAGGGTGATGTAAAAAACACCAGAGTGAAAGAAAGTTGGTGATGTTGGTCATTTGTGTACATTTGTGAGCAATTACTGTTAAACATATACAATTACAAAATTTTATGCAGTAATTGTCCTGAAGAATATAAATAATCAAAGTACAACAAATAGGTGTATATTTTCAAGCAACTTCTAATGCTGTTTCTGGGAAAAATGATCTACTCCTTTCTTTATTTTGTATGTCTGTGATTAACAGAGTTTAGAGGAGCGCTGCCAGCGGATCCTGCAGGATATGGAGGGGTCTTT